AGGAAGGAAGGAAGGAAGGAAGGAAGGAAGGAAGGAAGGGGAAGGGAAGGGAAGGAAAGGAAAGGAAGAACAGTGTGTGGAGAAAGATAAGATAGAAATCATGCTTGGTAAAGGAGAGGGTCAGTGGAAACAAGGAAGACCCTCGATGAGGTGCACTGACAGAGTAGCTACAACAATGGGGTCAAGGACAGCATCCTTTGTGAGGATGCAGCACGCATCCTTGTTTCCTTGTTTGTACATTGGGTCACCATGAGTCAAAAACGATTCAACAAACATTAACAATTGGAGGAACCTTGCCATATAATGAAAGAACTTTTACTTTTCAAAATGAAGGCCGCATAGTGGAGTGGACTTCCGGGGAGGGATTGTATAACAATTAGAGAATTTTTCTTTACTCTTCGAAGAGAAGAGCAAACTGGGTGGGAGTGGGGGAGGTTGGGCAGGGAAAAATTTGCAACAATAAATGAATGGAAATCTGAAGTCTCTGTAAACTTTCATTAAAATTAATCAATTTTTTTTAAAAGGGAGGGGGAAAGAATGATGATTCTCTCTCCCTTAACTGCCCCCAACTACTGCCGACAGTTAACTTGGTTCCACAATCAATATTGATGGAAGCTCAGTCAGGAAATCAAATGATGTATTGCAGTGGGTAAATTTGCTGTCAAGGTTATCTTTAAAGCGCTGAAGACTTTAAAGCTTCAAATGCTTTAAGGACATGGACTGCTTCCTCTTTCTACTGTACTGTGACCAGTGGATTCAAAACACTCACCTTTATTTAGCAGCCAATTTCTTTAACCTTAACTCCACCAGAGCTCTTTTCATGTGCTAAAGTAAGGCTAAATAAGATCCATGGCACCCATCCCAACTTGCCTCCGAGTTCAAAGTAAATTAAAGACATATTTATGAGCAGGCCTCATTTGTTTCCAGGGGACTGCCTATATATCTTTAATGCCTTCTTAATTAGTCCACTTATCCAGACTCATGGGTGTTTGCTTTGCTTCAATTGCAAGGATAGAGTTGTGTAACACACCCCTAAGCCAGCAGCAGCTGGTGGTGTCTTGTGGACTATTTCTCAAATATCACATTTAGGGAAGAAGAATAGGTCACAGAAATCTTTTTAAGAGACTGGTCAGTCAGTAGAGGAGTCGGTAAGGAGGAATGTTCCTTGTGCCTCTGTTAGTTCAGCTAGGCTAACAATGACTTTCAGGTAGATGATGTATGTGGCCACTGGGAAAAAGGGACAGTGTTCAGCCGAGTTAGGTATCCTGTCCTTTAAAGGCCTGGCTGTCTTCAGCAGCTGCTCCTCCTCTGCCCCTCACACAAAGTCCTGGATTCTTTCCCATATCTCTAGTTCTGAGAACCAAGAAGTAGTGAGGAGGAGTCTTTCTTCCCATCTCACTTCAACTTTGGCCCTTTTAGCCTTGCCAGCATGGGTAAGTTCATCCCACCATTCGCTCCTCTAAAAATCCTTAGCGCTAACCTGTCACTGTGTTCAAGTCAATCCCTGAACTTCAGGGACTACATGTTGAGCATCTTTCCCTGGGGGAAAGGGTGCGCCCAGGATCTTTAGACCTTCCAAAACCTTCTCTCTAACCTCAGATTCTATAGTGCACTTGAGTGGACCCTGCAACTCAGAGCATGGCAGTAGAACTGAGACGCCCACAACCCCTCCCATGAACTCCTCCTGTCTTTGCAAATAGCACTCTTTAAAAAAAAATCATTATTGATATCATCATTCACTTTTATATAATGATTCACATACATTGTTTCATTCATATGGTTTTGTTGTTGTTGTATCCTGTCACATCACCTCCAACTAATAGTGACCCTATTACAGTAGCTCTGAATCCTGTCCTATCTTGAGCCAATCTCAGTGTCTCCAACATAACTACTCACTTTACCCCAATTCATGTCAATCCGTTTCCTCCAGGTTCTTTTTCTCATACTCTGTCCTTCCACCTTTCCAAGCATGATGTCCTTCTCCAAGAATACGTTGCCTCCTGGCAACAT